TAGATGTCAATAAAATATGGTTTAATAAAATTAAATAGTTGTTGTGCAGTGGAATTATTTAGTTTGGTGTTATTTTTCATAGACTCAGTTATAAGATATTCTTTAAACCAATCGAGGTCATTAATAGTATCTTGTTGGTTTATTTTTGGTTTTTGTTTTTGTTATAAATTGAGTTTTTTGTTTTTCTTTAATAAGAAGGATTTAAGAAGTTAGATTTTTTTAGTAGGTTTCATCTGTTGAATTTTGATAAGAGCAAGGATTAGTTTTTGTTTAAGAGTTAAAGGAAGAATAATTTGTTTTTTGAAAGTTAAAAAAGAAGTTTGAGTATTTAAACTAATTAGTTTAGATTTAATTGAAACTATAACTATTTGCTATTGAAATGTAAGAGGGGAGGTTTAAACCAGAGATTTAAGTTTAATATCTAGTAGATGAGGAACACAGAGTCTGTGAATTAGATTTTGTTTAAAGATTGTACAGATTGTATAGTCAGGAGCATGACTATATTGTTCTGTTGCTATACAAGGAATATTTTTAGATCCATATAAGAGGCATATGTGATAGTGTTGAGAATGTACAATGATTGCAGAAGGTGTAGAATCTATTTGGAAATTAGGAAATAGCATATGAGGTTTGGAAGAAGATGAATCAGATTGTTGTTGTTTAGGAATAGGTAATTGAGGTAATTCATTAGCTATTTTTTTGAAATGACCAATAAAGATAGTAGAAGTAGTTTGGATCATAAATTGTCTAAGAGAAGTAGAATGAGAGATTTTGTAGAACCAGAATGTAAAGCTAGTATGATATATTTCACAAAGACATGTGGCAATAATGAGTTGTTAAGGAACTTTGAAATAATAATGCTTTTTTGTTATATTACAAGTAATTGGATTAACGTCTGCTAGAAGTGTCAAGATCCCGATTTCCGAAATAGAACTCAACAAGGAACAGGACAGGGAAAAGATCTTAGTACAAGGCAGGAGCGATATTTAGATATAGAACCAGGAAGAGTTTAAGTACAAGGTAGAAGCGAAACTTGATTACAAGATCGGGGAAGCTTTATTGAACAGACTAGTTTGTACATAGAGGTTTGTAACGCTTTTTTATACTTTTACGATGCTATTTCTAATACTTGTATACTTACTAATTAACTACTAATTTATGACTACATAATTTATGCGCATATTATTTTTAACTACAAATTGCTATTATCAATGACTACATAATTTATGCGCTTGATCATGCCACTAATGCTACGGTAAATTACTTCTTTGTTAATGACTTCATTATTAATGCGCTGGGAGTTATCTGAGAAGGGTCATGGCGGGTCATGACGGGTCACGACGGGCGGGTCATGTTCCAGAGTCACAGGCTTGTTATGGCGGACTGTTACACTATTCTCCTCTTAATGGATCACCCTCCCCTTTTTGATTGCTTGTCTAGGTTTATCGGGGTAGCATTGATGAAACGCGTCGACGGCTTTTTGTGCGTTACTTATGTTTTCTACCGGTTCCCAAGAACGTTCACTTATATCATAGTCCTTCCAATCGACCAAGTAGTAGAGTTTGTTCCTAATTAGCTTGGAGTCGAGTATTTTGTTAACTTCAAACTCCCTTTCTCCTTTGACAATAATAGGTGGAGGTGGTTCCGTTCTTCTTCTGGGAATATTGTTCTCTATATAGGGCTCTAGCAGAGAAACGTGGAAGGTGTTATGGATCTTGAACGTAGGAGGCAGGTTCAAACGATACACCACTGGGTTGATTTTTTTAGAGATGGTATAGGGGCCCAACTTGCAGTAATCCAACTTCTTGGAAGGTCATTTGGTGTTAATGTTGCGACTTAACAACTACACCTTGTCTCCAATTTCAAACCTGGGGGCTTTGTCACGATGTAAATCTGCTTTCGCTTTGTAGCGTTCTTGAGCCTTTCTTAACTCACTAATGATTGTTGCCTTAATTCGTTGGAGATGCAGGGCTTTGTCTTCGACCGACGGGACTGAGGAACGAAAAGGTGTTTGGAGGTCGAAATGTGGGTGAAAGCCGTAATTGGCAAAGAAAGGAGAGGTTTTAGTTGAAGCATGGGAGGTGTTGTTGTATGCAAATTCTGCCAACGGAAGCAGATCAACCCAATCGTCTTGGTGGTAGCTAATTGTGCATCTTAGATATTGTTCTAGCACCTGATTAACTCTTTCACTTTGGCCATCCGACTGGGGGTGATATGCTGATGACAGATTGATTTTTGCTCCTAATAAGCTAAATAAGTGCCTCCAGAATTTGGAAACAAATTGGGGGCCCCGGTCTGAGACGATATCCCTTGAAACACCATGAAGTCGAATTATTTCTTTAAAGATTAACTGGGCTGTTTGTTCGGCGTTGATATTTTTATTACATGCTATAAAATGTGCCATTTTCGACAGCCGATCTACTACAACGAGGATAGAATCATAACCTGAAGATAAGGGTAAGTCAGTGATAAAGTCCATGGATATGGAATGCCACTGTTGTGTGGGTATAGGTAGGGGTATTAATAATCCATGAGGGCGGTGTCTCGGGGTTTTTGATCTGGCACAGATATCACACGATTTAATGTAATTTCGTATAAATGAGCGAAACTTAGGCCACCAATAATCTCGGGTTACTAATTCGCTTGTCTTCTCTATCCCAAAGTGACCAGCTAACCTAGAATCGTGTCTTGCTCGTAACACCTCCAACCTTTCGGGTGTTCTTGGTACGTATAATAATCCTTCCCTAAACAGGAGTCCGCCCTCGTACTGGAATTTATGATAGTCAGAACGTTTACCTGGCTTGTGCCCAGGGTGATTTGTTAGTTGGTTAATTACGTCCATGGCTAGAGGGTCTGATTTGATTTGGTTGCGAATTCGGTTTCTCATGCTAACGTCGATTGGCGTTACAAAAGTTGCATTTATATGAAGATTGTTTGCCTTTAATAATATAGTGTGTTGTTGACTAGTTACTTCGTTGTCCACTTGGGGTTGGTGATCAGGTCTACGAGACAAGGCGTCAGACCTTCCTTGCTCTTTACCAGCCCAAAATACTATTTCAAAATCATAGTTTGAGAGAAGGAGAGACCATCGGGCTTGTCTGCGGTTCAAAGTTTTCGCTGTAGTGAAATACTCCAGGTTCTTATGATCACAGTAGATAATAGTTTTATGTTGAGTGCTTTCCAGGTAATGACACCAGTGTTTGAGGGCTGCTACTATTGCAAGCAGTTCCTTGTCATAAACGTCGTAATTTATCTCAGTGGGGGTGAATTTTCGGGAATAATATGCGACAGGGTGGAAACCTTTTTTGTTGTGCTGTGAGAGAACCGCTCCAAGGGCGTAGTCTGAGGCATCCGTTTCCAAGACATAAGTCTTTGTTGGGTTAGCTTGGATCAAAATTGGGGCTGAAGTAAAGGCCTTTTTTAGAAATGTGAAGGCCTCCTGGGCAGCTGCTGGCCAGCAAAAGTTTGATAATGGCTTTTTTGGTTTCTGAGTTAAGTTCGTTAAGGGAGTGACTGTTTGCGCATAACTTTTAATGAAATGATGATAGTAGTTGGCAAATCCCAAAAATCTTTGTACTTCTTTAACAGAGGTTGGAACGAGCCAAGTGAGGAGGCTTTTCACCTTACTTGGGTCCATCTGGGTTTCTTCAGGAGTTATACGATAGCCTAGAAAATCTATAGTTTCCTTATCAAACTCACATTTTTCTAATTTTGCATAGAGGCCATGTTGTCATAAGCGCTGCAGTACGAGCCGTACATGTTGAGTGTGTTCTTCTTGACTTGAGGAGTATATCAGGATGTTGTCCAAATAGATAATTACAAATCGATCCAGATAATCCCTGAAGATATCATTCATTAAGTATTGGAATACCACTGGGGCATTCATGAGCCCAAAGGGCATCACCAAGTACTCGAAGTGTCCATAACGAGTATGGAATGCAGTTTTCCACTCATCTCCTGGTTTAATGCGAACCAAATTATAGACGCCTCTTAGGTCAATTTTGGTAAAAACCTGAGCGCTAGCAAGCCTATTAAGGAGTTTAGGTATCAGTGGGAGAGGGTAACAGTTCTTAATGGTGATTCGATTTAAACCCTGGTAGTCCACACACATCCGCAGGGTCCCATCCTTTTTTTTAACAAAGAGGATAGGTGCACCAGCTGGAGATTTGGAGTGATGGATAAACCCTTTCTCCAGGTTTTTCTCGATATACTCCCTTAAAACTTCAAGCTCTCGGGTGGATAGTTCATAGATGGGACCCCATGGTGGTTGTGTATCAGGCAGCAAATCGATGGCGCAGTCGTACCGCCTATTCACAGGCAATTTATCAGCTTTTTTTTTGTTAAAGACATCATTGAAATCCTGGTATTTTTTGGGGACAAAGGGAATGTTTATGGAGTTAGGACTAGATGCTAGTGTAGTAAAGACTTGAACTACATATAGTTGTTCTTGTGTGGAGTTAGCCTTTATTGGGGTCCTTGGGTTTAGATGATGCACCTTACACAATGGATCTGTAAAAGTAATAGAACGCTCGCGCCAGTTAACTGTGGGATTGTGTAGGATTAGCTATGGCAAGCCCAGGATCACTGGATAGTGGGGGGAAGAGATAAGGTTAAAAGACAATTCTTCGTAGTGGTCTTGAGAGTTCAGAGATAGTGGTCCTGTTTCGTGTGTGACATTCCCTAAAGAGATCTTTCACCCATCGATTACCTCTACTGTTAATGGTGTTTCTTTTTTTTGGAAGCTTATATTATGTTTTTTGGCAAATGTGATATCTAAGAAGCAAGCTGATGCGCCTGAATCAATCAGTGCCAGGATGTTCACTTTGTGTCCTTTCGGTAAGCTTAAACATAGTTTGAAGGTGAGTGCGTCTGTAGGCAGGTTAGGTGGTAGGATTTTTTGGGGTAAACTAATGTCTTGATCTAGCCGAAGCCCCCTTACTGCGACTGGGGTTGCTCTTTTCCCAAAAACCCCTTAGGAAACACGATTGTGTCAATTTTAGGCTGAGTGTTGCTTTTGTTGAAGCAATTCCTAGCCATATGGCCTGGTTCTTCGCAGTATAAGCAAAGGTTATTTGCACGACGCCGTTCTTTCTCTTCGGCAGACAATGGCCTATATTTTATGGCATCTATTTGCATGGGTTCTGTGGTAGGGATGGATGAGCTATTGGGGACTTGATTAAAATATCTTCCAGAACTCGGGTCTCTAGGATGTTCCTGGCTACGTTCAAACAGTCGGTTATCACAATGTATCGCCTTCGAAATTGTGTCATTTAGTGAAATAGGGTCTTCCAAGATAAGAAGTAAATCCTTTACATTGTTTCGTAAACCCATTCTGAATTGGTCGATCAATGCGGCTTCTCCCCAATCTAAATCACTGGAAATTTGCCTAAATTCTGAAGCATAACTTGAGGCTGGTCTTGATCCCTGAACGAGTTTTCGTATCTTATTGGCGGCTATTCTGGCCTTATCAGCATCACCAAACATTGCCTCAAGTTCTTTAACTAACGTATCAAAGTCGTCCAATAGTTCTGATTGTTTTTCTAGCAGGGGGGCAAACCACGCAAGAGCTGATCCCATGAGCAGACTTCCAAGGAGTCCTACTTGCATTTGGTTATTGGGGTAGCGATTTGGTTGCAACCGTATGACAAGACGAACTTGATTCAAGAACCCTCTGAATTTGCTTCGTGTACCATCAAATTTGTCTGGGAGGCTCACTTTGGGTTCTCTATATTGGCCGTCCGTCTCTCCAAGAGCACGAAGTTGGTTGAGAGTATTCTTTAAGTCTGCGTTTTCCTGGTGGAGTGTTTGGTTGTCTAATTGGAGTTAGTTTAAAGCGATCAATATATCGTTAAGGTCAGGTTGGCTCTCTATTTTTTTTTTTTTTTTGATTATTATTTTATTTTTAAGTGCATGGTAAGCTGGTGGCGGATGAGCTAAGATATAAGGTGCCGAAGAGGCAGATACTCGTTGATCTAATTGCAAGTCAAAGTTGGGCTCGGCTTGGCAGCCAGAACCCGTAATAGTAGTCTGTTCAAACTGTCAAGATCCCGATTTCCGAAATAGAACTCAACAAAAAACAGGACAGGGAAAAGATCTTAGTACAAGGCAGGAGCAATATTTAGATATAGAACCAGGAAGAGTTTAAGTACAAGGTAGAAGCGAAACTTGATTACAAGATCGGGGAAGCTTTATTGAACAGACTAGTTTGTACATAGAGGTTTGTAACGCTTTTTTATACTTTTACGATGCTATTTCTAATACTTGTATACTTACTAATTAACTACTAATTTATGACTATATAATTTATGCACATATCATTTTTAACTACAAATTGCTATTATCAATGACTACATAATTTATGCGCTTGATCATGCCACTAATGCTACGGTAAATTACTTCTTTGTTAATGACTTCATTATTAATGCGCTGGGAGTTATCTGAGAAGGGTCATGGTGGGTCACGACGGGTTATGACGGGTGGGTCACATTCCAGAGTCACAGGCTTGTTACGGCAGACTGTTACAAGAAGTACATGTAACGATTGAGGTTTTCCTTCTACCATTCCTACATCATGCCAATCTTTATATCTGCTATGATAGTAGTCAATGTCATAGGAGTCAGGATCTTTAGAAATTAAAGTAGGCATAGTTTAGAGTTTAAAAGATAAAAACAAAAACAATAAATGAAATCTTGAGTGTAAGAGGATCTAAAAAATATAGGGTATAACAATTAAGGAGTGTAACAAATAAGGAATGTGATGAGTAAGGGAATGTGACAAATAAGAAAATATGACAAATAAGTGGCACAGGGTGTGCAGGCTAAATGGTTACAATAATCGACGTTGAACAGATTTTTGTGTTAGTTAATCGAACTAAAAATAGAAAAAAATTAAAATTTATATTAAATTAATTAATAATATGATTTTTGGTAGTGATCTGCAAGTGCTAGGCATCCTAGGATACAGGACCCCCCAAAAAAAAGAAAAAATTTTTTGCAAAAAAAGAACAGAAGTTTTGTAGGGGAGTTTTAAAGATTTTTTGCATAAAACCTTCAATATTAGTCCAATATTGATATATAATATATCAAAATGAAGCTCTAAGTGAGTCTATCTTTTTGTTTAAGATAATAACTAAGGTTAGCTTAATAGATTATTAAAAATTTTTAGAAAAAGTATTTTGCAG